CAAAGCGCATTCATCCGACAAGCCACAAACGTCACTATTCTGCGCTGAAGTAGGCGAAAATTGTTAATGAACTCCGTGTCACTGAAGTGAAGCACATCACCACTCACCACTCTTGGCTCCGTCTCCACATCCACACGTTCCTTTCAACGGACGTCGCTGCCGCTGCCCCACAAAACACCACGACCAAAAACCTCGTCCTTCTCCTTCTCAATCTCCTCCTTAAAACAAGTAAGTTGTTCATGTTCTGGCTCCGGTACGAGAGGAACTTTAAAATCTCCAGGTGTTCAATGCTCGTGTCCATGTTTGGACAGAACAGAACGCTCGCTGTGGTTGACGTGTCGTGTCTCCAGTGTCACATGCGGGACACTTTCGGGTCGTTTAACATTCACAGGATCACAGAAGATCACACACAAGTTGCATTTAATTGGAAATGTGAACAACCTCGCAAAAACATTGAATTTCACAAAAAAATCAGAATTGAGCATTAAGCCCTGCAGACTGAACGTAGCCTTATACTCCGGTGCAGCTTATATATTAACATTTTCACACCGACAGCCATGAGAGGCTCTAGTCTTGTGTGTCAGTATCTGCTGCTCCTGTTCCTCCTGTACCACTGTCACTTCTCGCTCTACTGCACATGTCTCCTGCAAAAAGAGCCTCTGTCCTTTCTGTATCACGTCAGTCGATCGCACCATTACTTCTGTACCACTGAAAATTGAAAATTTAAACAAACTTATAAAAGGGACTGAGAAGACTAAACACAAATGCCCCCAAAACGAAAATCATATATTGCAGATTATAAGATGCAAGTCGTGAAATATTCAGCCGAAAATGGTAACCGAGCAGCAGAAAGAAAGTTTGGAGTGAGTGAGAAACTTGTTGGATGGATCGACAAAGCCTGGACCTTTTTTTTGCATTGTAAAGTAGGTGTTGGTCTTATTCATTAACATCAGTCTTTGTCAACAGTGTCTCCAAAAACCACCAATCACACACCACTTTCACATTTAATCAAGATAGGTGGCACAAAAACACAATGCACTAGAAGGACCGGCCGGAATAATTCTAACTGGAACTGATGCTGAGTCTGATGACAGCGACACAGAAGAGGAAGCGGTGCTTATCTTACCCTGGAGGTCGCGGAGTTTCAGGTGACACCGAGGATGAAGAATTGAATGGATTTAGTGATTTGGAGTGAGATGGAGAGTTTGTTAAACTTGTTCTGTTGTTTATGTTATAGTTTATCTGAAGAACTGTTCATATGTGACGTTAACAGTCTGTTGTTCTCTCTTCTATTGTTTTTACCAGAACTTGACTTTTGAGATGAAATGTCGGTTCCTGGTCTCTGATTTTATAAAAGAAATTTCCTCCAAAAAGTGTGACTTATCTTTTTAAATTCTTCATTACACATTTTTTGGCTGGTGAGACTTACAAAAATATGGTAGTACACTGGGCCAAAACTCCTCTAATGTACACAGAGATTATAATTTGATAATGCAAATATAAGAAAACACCTTTATTTTGTCGAAATCATATTTACCCGAAAATGACTCTTGGGCCCAGTCAAGCAGAAGTAAACAGCAAGGCCAAAAATTCAAGTTAATGCATCTGATATAAAAATGTATTGAACAGATACATATGTACTCTAGTTTATGAAACTGTTGACCTTTTTTCTGTACCATTTTTGGTTCTAAAGTTACATACATTTTAAACAGACCATGTATGAAACATGGAACAAAAATTATTTCCCAAATTTCAAAGACCTGCAAATCATGTAAATAAATGGATGTATTTCATCATATCTTGTGTTATTCCATCTTTGAACTGTTGATGAAGGTACATGATTTTATTTTTTTTTTTATGTATTTAAAATGATAAAAATTTGCTTGGAAGGACTGACATATTTTATAGAAATAGTTTCCTTTCATTTTGAAGTAATATTAAAGTATATTCGGAAGAAAATTATGTAAAATCCTGCACCTTCTACTTGTTTGCACAATTTTCCCTCCGTTACTTTTCCCTCCGTTACCATGACTTTTCTTAATAAAAAATCTCATTACTCAAAAAGTAAGAGGTTTTTCAACCTAATCTTGTACCATATGGTAGAAAACTATATGAAGCAAATATTCAAACCAGTTTGTTAAGGATATGTAAGTGAGAACCAAGAGTTATCACTGTTTGGATTTATTGCCCAAAAAGTGCTGCATATTTCATTCCCTCCGTTACCGACATGAGTTTTTTAAATTTTTTGTCAACAACTTGAAAGAATATCACAGGTTTAACTTTACCCTGTTGGAGTGTAACTCTTTCCTACATTCTGATACTTTACTTATTTCAATAGTCCCTCTAGTTTCTGAATAAGAGACATTTGAATGTAAAAAATCTGCCCCTGTTTCCCTCCGTTACCTCTTGACCGGACCCTCCTGTGAGCTTTAAACCATGTTATAATGTTGTTAACTCATCAAAAAACATACCTGGAGTTTTATTTTGTTTCATTTGCACATGTTTCAGTAACTCTTTCCTAGTCTGTGAACATCTCCAAATGATTCTAGTGAAGGCGGATGGAGTTTAAAAACACAGTGGAGCCACATGACATCACAAGGAACCTTTAAAGTATCAGAAAATTGTGTTTTTTGGGTGTATATTGTGTCAAACTTTTGGGACAGAATTCTCCCTATAGCCTCATGTCATCAGTGTGTTTAGAACTCTCTGTTTGTTGTAATTTTCCAACACATTTTTCAACTTTTCTTTGCAAATTGCTTCTTGATTTCTATAGTGCGATAGTGCGGAGAAGGTTCTATCAGTGGCCATCGGGACTCTGTTTTCACAATCAAGATGTTTCCAGAAGTCATCCAGAAGTCATTTGCAACTGGAATTGGCTTGGAGCACGAGGAATTTATCTTACTCTGTGTACCCACGTAGGATCATTTGTTTGTTTTTCTGATTTTTTTTTATTGAGGCTCCACCTACCAACTGTTTACAGAAGCGTTCTCAGTCTGGATAATCAGTCTGAGCCCCGGGTGAATAACTAGAAATATGTTTTATGAGATGAGTTCGTGCCACAAGCAGTTCTGGAGACACACTTTGGGCATCTGACTGGGCAAGTTCTATAAGCGAGTGAATCAATGCAGTTTTTGGTTTTGAAAATCTATACTTAATCTTTACTGAGTAGTTTCTAGTTAAAGGCGCTGTACTTAATTTTTATCGTCTTAAAAATGTGAAAAACATGGACATGGAAACCAGTTATAAACCAGGACTTAACCAGGACTAAACCAGGACTGAACCAGGACTGAACCTACGTCATGTTATTAGAGGATTATAAATATATACACACCGCAACCGCAGAGCCGATCACCAGGACTGAACCAAGTCTAAACCAGGTCTAAACCAGGACTAAACCAGGACTGAACCAGGACTGAACCTACGTCATGTTATTAGAGGATTATAAATATATACACACCGCAACCGCAGAGCCGATCACCAGGACTGAACCAAGTCTAAACCAGGTCTAAACCAGGACTAAACCAACGCCGTGTCATTAGTGGATTATAAATGTATACATGCCGCAACCACAGAGCTGATCGCCAGTACTACACTGGGACTGGACCAGGACTAAACCAGGACTACACCAGGACTAAACCAGGACTACACCAGGTCTAAAGCAGGACTACACCAGGACTACACCAGGACTGAACCAGGACTACACCAGGACTACACCAGGACTACACCAGGACTACACCAGGTCTAAAGCAGGACTACACCAGGATTACACCAGGTCTAAACCAGGACTACACCAGGTCTAAACCAGGACTACACCAGGTCTAAACCAGGACTACACCAGGACTAAACCAGGACTACACCAGGTCTAAACCAGGACTACACCAGGTCTAAACCAGGACTACACCAGGACTGAACCAGGACTACACCAGGTCTAAACCAGGACTACACCAGGTCTAAACCAGGACTACACCAGGACTACACCAGGACTACACCAGGACCGAACCAGGTCTAAACCAGGACTACATCAGGACTACACCAGGATTACACCAGGAATACACCAGGACTGAACCAGGTCTAAATCAGGTCTAAATCAGGTCTAAACCTGGACTACACCAGGATTACACCAGTACCGAACCAGGTCTAAACCAGGACTACACCAGGATTACACCAGTACCGAACCAGGTCTAAACCAGGACTACACCAGGTCTAAACCAGGACTACACCAGGACTACACCAGGACTACACCAGGTCTAAATCAGGTCTAAATCAGGACTAAACCAGGACTAAACCAGGTCTAAATCAGGACTAAACCAGGACCAAACCAGGTCTTAACCAGGTCTAAGCCGATCACCTCCGCTGATGGTTTTATGTAATAAAAACACTAAAGTTATTCTCTCAGCCTGGTCCATCGTTCCAGGAAAAGACCGTGAAATCTCCCGTTCATCGTTCATTTAATTCACCTGACCTGCCCGTGTGTAATCGCTACCCGCCCGTAAAATTCCAGAACGTTAAAACCCGCCCGTTCCAGAAACTATTTGCAGGTATAGGACTCTGATCCGAAGTTTTTCCTCACTTTCATTCAAAACATCCTGATCATTCACTCATTGTTCAGTTTCTAAGCGCCTTTCGCAACTCTCAGAGAGCAGAGCGGCGTTTTACTGTCTAAACAACAACAACTAGCAAGCTAACAGCGCACTTCCTGAGTCTCTGGCAATATCCCGCTTTAGAATTCGATGCAGACAGCACACAGCGGACTTATTTTGACCTCGAGAGCTGTTTAATACAATATATCTGTACACATTTACACATCTCAAATACATGGCTTCCTTTTTTTTTTCTCTCTCTCTTCCCCCCAAAACCTCCCCTCTCTCATAAAATCAAATAAAAATAAACAGTAAAACAAACAAAACCAATAAATAAATGAATGAAATATCAAGATAAAATAGATGAAGATAAATAAGAGGGAAGAAAACAGCTTGCGGACAGTGTGGAGTCGATCGTACCTGTGAAGCGCTTCTTGCCGCTGAGGTCGAACTCGTTGGTGGGCCCTTTGTTGGTGGGTCTGGGGGTCACGGTGCTGGGGACTGTGGGGGTGGTGGGGAGCAGGGTCATCAGCTCATCTGAAAACACAAATTTATTAACGTAGTATTAAAAAAAAAATGAATTAATGGGTAAAACATGCATAGAAAAATTACATAAATGCAGCGGTGGAAGGAAACCAAGATGTAAAGTCCTGTGCTCAAGTCAAATTTTTAGGTATTCTCGATTAATTACATTTTAAAATGGGTACTTTTTACTTTTATTTCACTGCATTTACAGATCTACGTCTCTCTGGCAGCAGGAGACTATGGACCAGTGGAGTCACTTGGTCACTGCATCCAACAGATCAGTGTGTGGATGCAAAACAACTTTCTCCAGCTAAACTCTGACAAGACTGAAGTCATAGTGTTTGGTCCACAGAAACAAAGGGACAGTGTCAGCAGTCACCTCCAGTCTCTCGCTCTAAAACCTTCAAATCAGGCAAGAAATCTCGGGGTAATAATGGACTCAGACTTGAACTTTAACAGCCACATCAAATCAATAACATCTGCAGCCTTTTACCATCTAAAAAACATAGCAAAAATCAAAGGTTTACTGTCTAAATCAGACTTGGAGAAACTTATCCATGTGTTTGTCTCCAGTAGGTTAGATACTGTAATGTTCTGCTCACTGGTCTCTCCAAACGAGCTGTGAGACGCTGCAGAACATCCAGAACATCCAGAACATCCAGAACATCCAGAACGCTGCAGCTCGGGTCCTGACTCGAACTAGGAAGTACGAGCACATAAGTCCTGTGCTCAGGTCTCTGCACTGGCTCCTGTGCCTCAGAGAATAGACTTTAAAGCAGCTCTGCTTGTACAAGTGTCTCCATGGCCGAGCACCAAAGTCCATCTGTGACATGTTAGTGTCATATGAACATCTCACACTCTGAGGACCTCAGGGACCGGCCTCCTGCTGGTGCCCAGAGTCACGACTAAACAAGGGGAGTCAGAGTTTCAGGTTCATGCAGCTAAAACCTGGAACAGTCTGAACATGTGAGACAGACTCTTCTGTGACGCTGTTTAAATCCAGACTCAAAACATTTCTGTTTAACTGTGCAAATAACTGAAAGGTTTTCATTCCGCACTCTTCTCTCCAATTTATGTCTCTCTTTTTTAATTTTAATCTTCATGATTATTTATGTTTTGATTTGTTTTTATTATGATTTTAATGTATTTCTTATTCTGTAAAGCACTTTGAATTACTTTGTGTACGAATTGTGCTGTACAAATAAACTTGCCTTGCCTTGCCTTACATTTGAACGCATTTATCTGTACTTTCTACTACACTACATTTTTTAACTGGACTGAAAAGCAAAAAGTACTTTTCATATGACTTTAGGGGTTGTTTTTCTCATGTTTACAGTAACATCCTGAGTTTAAGCTTCGGCTTTCAGGAAACAAAAATAAATGTACTTAATTCTTGAGAAAATTCAGAAATGTATTCGTATTGACATAAAAATCGGTATCGTTTTGAATTAGTATTTAACATTTTAGCAACACTTCATCAAAATCTGTGTGAAATACTTTTTCTTTTAAATTTCTTTTTAAAATCTATTAAATTACTGTATATGTTCTGTTCTAAATTACATTCTTCATATGACAATTTAACTTTGGATTTGAGTCACTTTTTGCCTCTGTATCTGTACTTTTAATAAATCTGAGTACTTCATTCACCACTGGATAAATGCAATGTACAGTCCAAAATATGAAATAAAACTTTGAGCTACAAAAGCAAACAAAAGCAACTGTTACATATTATACTTTTTATGACAGGACGTAAATACTTATTCAACCCCACCCCTTTTACTGTCATCCCAGATTTCTTAAAGGCATAAAAAAACAAAATTAGTTCATTTTAAACCAGGGTAACATCCTGAGTTTAAGCTTCAGCTTTCAGGAAACAAAAATAAATGTACACAATTCATCAGAAAATTCACTGTATTAACACAAAAATCTGTATTGTTTTGAATAAATATCACTACATTTAACAGTTTAACAAATTAATGACACTTGATCAAAATCTGTGTGAAATACTTTTACTTAGTGATATTCATTAACTGCCATATTTTTTATGTTAAATCATTGTAATATGATGTATGATTATGTTAATGAACTGAAGAAAATAAACAAACTTTTTCTTCAAAATTAGGTACTTTTCATTAGACAATTTTACTTTGATTTGAGTAACTTTTTGCCTCTGTATCTGTACTTTTACTTAAATAACAAATCTGAGTACTTCATCCATCATTGAATAAATGCAATGTGTAGTACAAAATATGAAATAAAACTGAGCTACAAGCAAAACAAAAGCAACTGTTACGCATTATACATTTTATGGGAGGACGTAAATACTGATCCAACTCCACCCCTTTTACTGCCATCCCAGTTTCCTTAAAAACATGAAACGCCAAACTAGTTTACTTTAAAGCAGGGGTCACCAAACTAAGGCCAGCGGGCTGATTCTGGCCCTACATGCCCTTTTGACCGACCCCCAAGCACCTCTGCCCCCGACCAATTGAACTGGTCCTATGAGGCGATCCTCAAAAGTTGTCATGGTCTATTTTTTTTTTTAATGACTTTTTAGCAAATAATAACACATCTGCATCTTGTATTTTGTTCATTTTTTCAATTGAAAAATTATATTTTGAATGAAGTATGAAGTACGAGCACATAAGTCCTGTGCTCAGGTCTCTGCACTGGCTCCTGTGCCTCAGAGAATAAACTTTAAAGCAGCTCTGCTTGTACAAGTGTCTCCATGGCCGAGCACCAAAGTCCATCTGTGACATGTTAGTGTCATATGAACATCTCACACTCTGAGGAGCTCAGGGACCAACTCCTGCTGGTGCCCAGAGTCACGACTAAACAAGGGGAGTCAGAGTTTCAGGTTCATGCAGCTAAAACCTGGAACAGTCTGAACATGTGAGACAGACTCTTCTGTGACGCTGTTTAAATCCAGGCTCAAAACATTTCTGTTTAACTGTGCATATAACTGAAAGGTTTTCATTCCGCACTCTTCTTTTGATTTGTTTTTATTATGATTTTAATGTATTTCTTATTCTGTAAAGCACTTTGAATTACTTTGTGTATGAATTGTGCTATACAAATAAACTTGCCTTGCCTTGCCTTGAAGTATTTATGTGTGTGTCGTCCAGGTAGAATCCATGGCAAAGGAGAAATTCAGTTTGTCGACTGGACAAAAGTTTATTTTGGTCGAATACATTGAGCTTATTTAAAACTTATTCAACCAAATAAACTTTTGTCCATTTGACAAACTGAATTTCTCTTTTGCCATGAAGTATTTATATTTATATTTAATTAATTATATGACGTATTTACATTTGCCGCCGAATTTTCATCACCTGACAAACTCCAGATCAAACAGTGACAGTCGATGTAAGGACAAAAGGCAAAATGGCGAAGTTAAAGTACGAAACGTTGCCAGAGAACGACGAGTTTTCAAAGAACAGTGGACGACCCATTATTTTTTTGTTCAGTGTTGGACCGTGCAGTTAGTTTGATACGTAATAAAAGTGTGGAGGTTTTCAAAGAACATAATCTGCGTCGTCAGGAGCGATAACGCGGCCACCAGAGAAAAAAAGTTTGGTGACTCCTGATTTAAACGCTCGTGTTTGTTTCTCCAACAATAACACGCTTTATAATTAGACACAGAGAACACATAGCCGACTTATTTTTGCTCAAATACGTGGGAAAAAAATCACGTACAAGCTGTTTAAAACCTGTTTGCGTCGGACAGCGCTGACCCCACGTAGCCCAGAAAGAAAAAGGAGCTGGGAGCGGGAGCTGGGAGCGGATAATCTAAACAATTTGGACTGGGCCACACCGTGAGTTTACAACGCATCTGAAACTCAGCTGGGCCAAAATTCTTGCTGATAGATCGGAAATTGTTTAGAAAAGTAACGTCGAGCGATTAATCTCGTGCAAAAGTCGCTCTGATCTGCGGCCGAACGCTGCCACATTGGAACTAATTGCAGGCAGCTGTATGTTTTCACTTTTTTTAGCCCAGACACCAAAATTAGGTAATGTTTTGCTCGTTGGGTTTTCCACATGAGGGGCACGGGGGGTGTACTTTTTCACAACAAAATGTAATTAAGCTCCAAGGTCGAGGGCGCTCTGAGCAGATCGGGGAGAAGAGGAGAATTGAGTTAGCCGTTTCTTCCCTTCACGGCTGGCCTCTGCATCAGTGGACCTTAATGACATCACCGTCATTAGAACCAGACCACTTCCAAGGCCGGTGGAAAAAACGAGGAAAGAACGGCGCTCGCTGCGGGAACGACCACGTGAACGAAAGCACGCGGAGTCCCAGCGCGAGCAACAGGTCCGAAACGTCTGATCTGGAAGTGTTTGATAGAGAGAGAGAGATAATAAATAATAATAATAAATGATTTGTATAAGAATCACTCCTGAAGAAACGGTTTATGAAGAATGATCGATGATTTGTGGACACACTGATCCACGGGCTCAGGGTTCCCTAGATTCCAAGTCCTAGTCCAAGATTAGTCCTGGTTTGGTCCTGGTTTAGACCTGGTTTAGTCCTGGTTCAGTCCTGGTTTAGACCTGGTTTCTGGTTCTGGTTCCTGGTTAGACCTGGTTTTAGACCTGGTTTAGTCCTGGTTTAGTCCTGGTTTAGTCCTGGTTTAGTCCTGGTTTAGTCCTGGTTTAGTCCTGGTTTAGTCCTGGTTTAGTCCTGGTTCAGTCCTGGTTTAGTTCTTGTTTAGTCCTGGTTCAGTTCTGGTTTAGTCCTGGTTTAGACCTGGTTTAGACTTGGTTTAGTCCTGGTTTAGTTCTTGTTTAGTCCTGGTTTAGTCCTGGTTTAGACCTGGTTTTAGTCCTGGTTTAGTCCTGGTTTAGTCCTGGTTTAGTCCTGGTTTAGTCCTGGTTTAGTCCTGGTTTAGACCTGGTTTAGACCTGGTTTAGTCCTGGTTTTAGTCCTGGTTTAGTCCTGGATTTAGTCCTGGTTTAGTCCTGGTTTAGTCCTGGTTTAGTCCTGGTTTAGTCCTGGTTTAGACCTGGTTTAGTCC